TCATAGCCTTAAAAACAGGATTAAAACTTTAATATATCAATCCTTCACTAATTAAGTTCTATTACTATTTTTGTAACAAAAAACATCAAAAACCTCTCTCTCCCCGACATAGAATCAACTAGCAAGCTAGAGTTGCAGGAACCTAAAATTAAACTAGTGAAAGAAATGGTGCACTAACAGATACTTGGAATCCATAACTAAAGGTTTCAACTATGGAATTCTTACAATGGAGTCTGAGGAGGCAGATGCAATATGTTACATATATATTTTTCATACAACACTCTCTCTCTAGCTATATATACATATACACACACACACACACACATATATACATACATACCCTCATCGAATGATTGCATTTCCATTTCCCAGAAGTCATAACCATTACCTAAATTAGGGTAATCACATTACATGATAGTGTGCAAAAACGAATCCATAGATTCCTCCAAATGAAGCAAAATATTCACACACATATGTATGCACACACTAGTAAAAATGTACATGCAATGCAACATATATATATATAAATTTTGGATACAAAGATAATTTTATTTTTTACAAGATCTATATAAAAATTATAAATTCTATTGCCATTTATATATTAGTATAGTATAGCTATGGATGGATATATATATATATATATATATATATATATATATAATGACACATGAAATGTACAAGGTTTTTAAATGCTATGCAAAACACAAAGGTATAGTTTATTTCTATTGAACATCCACCAGTACTGCTAAAATAATTTTCTAATTTCGCGGGTATGCACTACATATATAACTTATTGCATTGATTCCATGTTTCCACATGCAATAATAAGCCAAAACAAGTACTAGTATTGAACTGAACATCAGTTATTCACAAGATAATTAATTAAATGTTGAGCACAATGCACATACAATGCATATTGAATAATTAATAAACAAACTTGTGAACACAAACCCAGTGCTCCAGCCATATATACGAACTAGAGAATACAACACAGCACTCATATATTTCAACATATATATATATATAAATTAAAGATATATTGAAAATATGATGCATTGCTCTCCTATATATTATACGAAGCAACTGATCCATAAAATAAAATAAAAAAATTCAATTAAGCCAAGTTGCCAACACTTAGTTGACTCTTGACTTATTACCACAGACTACTATAATAATGAAATGAAGCAGAAATCCTGAAATTTCATGCAATGATGCAAAGCTATTAAACTTGATATAGAATTAACTTTGAACAATTGTATATAGGTATATATAATGTGCATGTACCAATAATTACAATAAAAAGTCAGTTAACACACACACACACACACACACACACACACAGCTAAATAAAATGAAGTTATATACAGGAATAATTGCTAATCTTGTATACATCAATAATAATCAATGTCAAAAGTTGCCCATGGGGAAATCCTATTATATATGTACTGTTTCACAACATCCAGGCTTCCAAACTAGATTGCTCATCCATAACAACACAAAAGTGAAGATGAAAAAGAGTATAGAGGTTTCTCAAGGCAATTTAACATAATAGAACCATGATTACCAAAACAAATTAATGCATACATAAAATATTGTAGACCAAAGAAATAGGAGCTATTACTAAAAAAAGATGCATGAGAGATGATCATATTCACACAACTATAGGAGTTCTTAAATTGTGGCTCAACAGGCAAAAAGGGAAAAAAAAAAAAAAACAGAAAAAGAAAGAAAGTACTGACTTTTATAAACAGTTAAACACTAGTTATTTAAATCATATGGCAAGAATATGAAAACATTCAACCTGCTAGAAAGTGAAAAGCCTCACCTTGATAAATATTAGGGATAATCCAGGTCAAGTTGTAGATATAAGGACCTAACCACATAAATAAGTTCGGGAAACTAAGGGCTTTCAGAAAACTTAAAACAGAAAACTATACCAAAAACTCTGTTATGAAAATGCATCATGCTTTCAAAGAATTGTCTTTTATAGTTAGTTATCTGAAAACAGTTTTTTGTTCTTTGAATTCTTGAGAACTGTTTTCAAAGTTACAAATCAAGCAGACCAAATTTTCAAGATGCAGTTTTACTTTGCATAAGCCAAAACATAGTACATGGTTTCAATTCAATTATAATTTGTTCATGCATGCATGGATTCATACAAACACCCCACACCACATGGAGATTAAAGCATCATATATAGGTGAAGCAGTGAAGAAGGCCATATACTTGCATACCAGAAAGGAAATAATTATTACATTGAATTAACAACGGTTCAGCCTTGAGTGAATAATCATATGTCAAGAGTAATGTGAAAAGCACAAAAATTAAACCTTAAATGAACAATCATACACACATAAGACTAAAGAAAAACCACAAAAAACATATATAATTATGTGTGTGTATATAAATAAAAGAAAGGTCAAGAAGACGAGAAGAAAGATGGAGAACTTATTGTATAACAGTATTTAGAGTGATGAAGAGTTGAATTAGCAGCTTCAACAAGAGTTACCTTCAAGCAACTTTTTGGATTTTATATTATGCATGTTAATTGAAACAATGAAATCCATGGAGAGACTCTTGACAATAACTCTGAGCTTGACTATGAATTAAATTTACAACAAACCAATTTCAAACAGAAGTTGGTCATGAAACTAGTACTACTGTAATTGAATTTTATTTTTGCAGTCATTTCAAGTTCTCAGTTGCAATTTTCTCTATAAAACATAAGGGAGATGGGCACATCAGGATATTCCTAACAAGGGTCTGCAAACAAAATTGAAGAGTTGGCTACTAGTTCATGTGTGATAACTAGTAAACAGTGATATAAACTTAGAGAAATAAATAGATCAGGTTAAGCTAATTCAAATTGAAGCACAATCTACTTTTTACTTTACGTATATGATCACAACAACATCATATAAATTATAAACAAATTTAATCCATTGATCACAAATAGAGAATTAAATAACACTAAACAAACAAACAAATTCCTTCAGATACCTTTTGATCACTTTATGATAAACAAATTAAGACGATTATCAGCGGATATTCACATGAAATTACACCAAACTGTAGTACAGAATCATCCCCAAGGCCCAAAGATCTTGATCACAACATAGCAGAATTATACACATGTTACATCATGCTAATCAATATAGGAAATAGAAGACAAGAAAAAAAAAAAACACGAAAATGTTAAAATGGATGTCCTCATTTAATAGACTTGAAGAAAACCACGTAAACCCCCCTTATGACGAACCAAAGTTCATCATTCTTAAGCTCTCTCAAGCTCATGACCTCCAAAAAAAAGAAACTGTTCACTTGTGTTGAAACATTCTAGCCACACTACATCTTACACATAATTCACAAGAAAAGAAAGAATTGCTTTCACACCCTACCATCTGAGAGACCGGAACACAAAATAAAAATGAAGATTTATTTATATGGGAGTTTGTATTTCATCCATGACATATGAAGTGTTTTATGCAGCAAGGAGAGCTTGTTAACTACAGACATCGAATTTATTTCATCCATGACAGATCTGAAATGTCTCATGCAGCAAGTGGCGCTTGTTAAGTACAGACATCAAATTGCCTCTTCATATGTTTGGCTACTAGAAGACATGACATGTATAAGACTAGGAATATAACATAAAAATGACAAATTCTATACTTAAACAAAAATAAATAAAATAAAATAAAATAAAATTTGCAAATATCCAAAAGGAACACAGCATGCAAGTGGTGGGGGAGAAAAGCCACCACTAGAGAACATATACAGCCATATTTTATCAAATGTTAGTCAACATTTCTACACAAGTTTGTCGCCAAAAATTTAGTAATTGACATGGTACAACATCTCAAAAATAAAGTATCATGAAAAGCCAAAAAGGCATCCTCAGAAAGAATTATATGCCAATAAACAGAAATGTGAAGGTCATAATGACAAAAAAAAAAAAAAAAAAAACCAGCATGACTGAAAAATAAACATAGAAACATTCCATGCCTTAAATGGTTCTTATTAAGGCTTATATAAAATAGAACAAAACATAATTGGAGACGATAAATAAAACCTTAAGAATATTCCAAAACTGGCATGGTAGAGAATATAAGTGCCAGCAGAAATCATAAATGCCCGACAACAAAGGTTCAGAAATCAGCAAAGAAGTTTATGGAAAACATGGAACAGTGAGATGATATATATACAAAGGGGTAAACTGGGGTTTTTTTTTCCGTTAATTTATAGTTACAACATAAATCAAGCACAATTAAGCAGTACGAACAAGCAAAACCAAGTAATTAACTGTTCATGAACATGCACGCATGCGATTTCAACAGTGTCCAACTTGCCACCGGCAGTAAAGTGGCTTGAAAAAGACATCCATGAAATGATCCTCCTCCTTCAGGGAGTAAATGATGGTGACATTATAACAACTATACGTGCCAAAGTCTAAAGCAACTCAACAATTATGAATCCCACATTAACTTCTGGTTGATGACCAACCATATGAAACGAAAAGGAGTGATTGGGGGTGGAGTAGTACAATGCTGGGAACCATGAACATATGATAAATATTACTAAAGAGTGGAAAGAATCAATGTATACGAATGAATATACACATTAATAAGAAGGTTAAATATATATATATATATATAACACATATTTGAAAATGTTTAACACATGAGTAGTGAAAATAGTGTTTGCAACAAAGACAAAATTGCAAGACAATAAAGATGAGGTTCATGCCACAATGTCCTTCACGATGAATGACAATTTACAATATAAAGTAGATTTGACGTTAAACGAAGAAAATATAGAACAATTAAAAGGATATATAGAAAATAAGTCTATGTCATGTCAAATTTTAGATAAGTGAAATATACTTTTAACAAGATTTATGGTAATAGCAAGAAAAGATAGTTTCTTTAGCAAATGATTACCCTCTTGCTTAGTGACAAAGGCAAATTAATGTTATAGACCAAAAAAAACTAAAGAACTCAGATGCAAAAACATATGGAATATAAAAGAAGATTTATGTTAATAAGATAAACTTCTACATGAAAATTTCACTCAAGCCCTATCAATAATTAGCAGATTTGATATAAGAGAAAATTAGACTACAATGACAATAATTCTTCTGAGTCTTAGCATCCATCTACATGGCCTTAAGACTCAAAAAAGGAATTATCAATTTATTGGGTTACCATAGCTTGAGCCTCCAAGAAGCCCACCACCGGAGGCGGCATAAACATCAGACGGGTCAAGAATCGGAGACGACGAAGCTCCATTCCTAGCCCCACCACCACCACCACCACTACTACCACCACCCAAATGTAGCTCAGATAGGTTAGGAAACCCATCTCTAGTTTCAACCCCCTGATCATAGAGGAACCCCTTGAAGACATGGCCACCGATCTTCACCACCGCCTGATATGCATACTCATCTTCACCACCGTCATCCACGGCGGTGACTCGGACACACTTGAACACAGCCGGCGCTCGTACTTGGCCTGGCAATGCCTCTTTAAAACTAGCATCTGCCCACAATTTCACAAACCCAATTCAAAATCATCATTCAACAATACGACATATATATAATTACATATATATATAATAACAAATTGCGTGTGTTAGAATCATACCTTGATGACTAGAACTAGTATCAAAGCTTCTTGGAGGAGTGGTGTTGGAAGTAGAATTGTGTGAAGTTGTGGTGGTTTGTGAAGTGACAAGTCTTGGTTTCTTAGCACCGGAAGTAGACCCGGACGATCCAGCTGCGGCAGTGGTGGCAGCCATGAGCTGCCGTTCGCGGCGGCGAGCTGCCGGAACCCACGTGCTCTTCACGTGAGTGGCACAATCAAAACCTCTACTCTTGCAACAAGTCCTACACCTACGATGTGTACAATCCTTCTTGGCCTGGTTCCCACAGTCCTGACACGTCGTCGTCATAGACGACGCCGACGACCCACCAATCCCACCACCACTGCTGCCGCCACCGCCACCGCTCTGCAGCAAATTGGCCGGAGTAGAGTGATCAAGAATCATGGGTTTTTTCATATAATTGGAGTGCTGATGAGAGTAGGGTTGGTTTTGCCAGAACTGAATTCCATTTCCACCACTCCGATTGTTCCGATTGCTATTCATGTCATCGTCGTCCACACCCATGTTGGGAGGCGCGAGGCAAGGCGCGGCGGTGAGGAGCGGGATGATGCCGACGCCCAGGGCGGTGGCGGCGTTGGAGGCGTTGATTGCGTGAGGATCGGAGATGATGGGTTCGTTGTGGTGGAAGGAAGACTGCGGCGCCACCAGAAAGACATCTCGGAGACCCAACATACCCATCTCCGCCGGGAGGCCGTAATTGACAGGTCTGGAGGAAGAGGACCACATTCCTCCCCCTCCTCCGCCGGCGGTGGGTCCATTTCCGCCACCGGTGGCGGTGGGACTGACATTGAAGCCTAAGGAGAGATCCTCAGCGGGGCGGCCAGCGGAGGAAGAAGCCACCCAGTCTGCAAAAGCACCAGAATCTGAGGGCAGTCTCCTAGTGGTAGCCACAATTGATGATATATATATATATAGATATAGATATAGATTATATTTAGAGAGAACTATACTAGTATATGTCTGACTGCAGGAAGGAAAGCTCTGAAAAACCACGCTCCAAATCGTGAAAAATCTATGTATGTAGGTGTTATGTGAGTGGGGTCTCTGAAATTCTTTTTCAGAGAGAGATTTTGGAGAGAGAGAGAGGGAGGAAGGTGGGGAGAGGGAGATCTTGTGGATGAGTACTTTCTCTCTCTATATATATGCGTATATATGTAATTACTGCTGTTTTTTATGCAGGGACTGGTGGGTCTGGCTTCTGTTGATGAGAGCTGCTACTAATACTACTACTTACTACTGTCACTTGGCTTTTCTGATGAAAAAAGTTTGTTTGAGAGAGGGACTACTGAGCTTCTTGGCCAGTGATAGCAGAAGGGTAAGAGAGAGAAAGAGAAAGAGAAAGAGAGAGTGAATGCAGCAATAACGACCCTTTTTCCTTCCCCACTCTATAATATTTCTTCTGTGGTCTTCTGCTGTGTTGTAGTTATGGTTGCCGACCTTTATCTTTCTCTCTCATCATCATCATCATAAGCTCTTCCTTCTTTGCTGCCTTCTTCTTCTTTTCTGAGCTTCTTTATCGCTTGCTTCTCCTCTTTCTCTTTCTAAAAATCAGTCCTTTCTCTCACTTACCTCTCACTCTCTCTCTTCCCTCTTTAGAAAGCGAAACTGAGGTGGGTTCCTCTCCACCTCTCACTCTCTCTCCAATAATCTCACTAACCAAGCACAGAGAGAGAGAGAGAGAGAGTATAAAGACTTTTGTTCTCTAGTTTTTTGTAATTTTATGGAGACCCTAGAGTCACATGACACCTCTCGTTCTTTTAAGTAATTCCTCTAGCTCCCACATCCTATGCATGTATTCCCCAGACATGAGATTTGATTACTATATATATATATATATATATATATATTTTGTTATTGTACATATATGAATACAAGATACACATAATATGAATATGCATACAAATACATCAAAATTTTTAAAAATAAAATACGAATATATCAAATTTTCAAAAAATTAAATACAAATACGACAAGATAAGACAATAAAATAAAAGTATATAATATTTATATATATATAATTAATTTTTAATTACATTATGAATGTAAATGTAATGACTGGTGTGTTCGTAAATAAAGAAGCAAACAAAAGAAGGATAAATTACATTGACCTCTTTTTTGGGTAAATTACACATAGGTTGGTAGACCGTTAACTATTTATTATTTTGACCTTTAATGAAATTTGACATATGTGCTTAATGACACCCTTAACGTTTTCTTTTCGGCAAAATTGTTGATCAAAATTTTCAAAAATGACAATGTTACCCTTCCCATGTATAAAATGCAATATAATACTTCTTATGTCCCCCAAAAAAATGTCCCTTTTGGAGAACTGTGACTCACACATTTCCCTAAAAGGGACATTTTTTGGAACAGATGGAGTATATTATTATAATATGAAGGCATTATTGACTTTTCACAATCAAGGTCATTTTCTGACCACTGGCAAACGAATATAGTGGAAGTTAAAGTAATAAACGATGAACGGTCTACCCATATTCAATTTGTCCAAATTTCAGGGGATGTTAATGTAATTTACCCTTAAAAGAAACACAATAAGAAAAACTCTGACTCTATAACATGAATGACCCAAATTATTAATAGACATCAAATCTCTCTTCTTGTTTTTGTCTATTTCTCTCACATTGTCTATTTAGGATTTTAAGTCATTTCTTTGTTATTTTCTTTTAAATAATGAACTTTTTATTTTTACAATTAAACTCTCATTTTTTATAAAAACATTTATGATTTTGTCTAGCATACAGTATCTTGTCATATCATATAAGTATCATGTTGTATCCAGGGCATATCAGACCCCTAGCCCTATTGTATCATATCCCTGTGTTGGATACGTATCTGATACGATCATGACAACCTTGTCAAAGCAGAGTTGTTTGAAGAGAAATTTCAATGCATCTTTCATAAATTGTCAAAGTAACGTGGTGGTGGCTTAGTATTAAAAGGTCATTTGGGTATCAATCAAAATGGCTAATGTCTTTCTTCCAAGTGTTTGTAGTGCTATAGTTGCTAGGGTTTTGTTTTGCGAAGGATTAGAATTGTTTATATAATGGAGATACTACTATGTGGTGTTAGACGCAAATTGTTATACAATTGAGTTTTGGGGTTGTGATCATTAGTTTGGATTACAATTATGGAAATGTCCGATCAGTTGCACTTAAGTTGAATTAATCGTACTTTGTGTTGTGAAGCCTGAAGGCATTTCTGGAAAAGTTAAACCAATCGCAGTTAAGTTAAAACAGTTGCACTTAGATAATTTCGGTCACAACGGGAGTTCTGAGAAATCGAACCGGCCACATGTAAGTTAGACTGGTTGCACATAAGTTACTAGCTAGATTCAATTCCATTGTTCGTTTTGGACTTTTTAAAAGGCTCAAAATTATTGGAAAAGTTGGTTTCTTTTGAGAGGTGGTTTATATATTAACTCTAATTAGATAATAAGATGTGACAAGAGTGAGAGAGATTGTATCGTGCCTACACAAGAGAGAGAGTTAAAGAGATGTTGATAGGAAATTCTCCATTACAATCCTTTATCATTTTCATAATGAATTGTTCGATGCATTCCATGGACGTAGCCCAGAATTTGGGTGAACCATGTGTAATACCCCTAATTTCAAAAGGATAGTCCTGATATTTATTTTATTGTTTAAATTTCAATTTTTAATTATTTAAGTGTTATATGATTATTTCATTGATTTAGTTGTAGTTAATTTATTTAATTGTCTTATTTATTGCTTTAATTGTATTAATTAGTTAATTGATTTTTAATTGTTTTTGTTTTCATTAATTGTCTTAAGTATTGACTTAATGTTATGAACTTATTTAATTAAATGTAATTTATATATTGTTAACGTAACTGTAAGGTTGGTTGCATATAGAGTATTCACATAAGTAGCCGACATTGATTAACCTAGTTTTCTCGATGGGCCGTGTAAATCCAATTAAGGTTGAGAGAGCCTAGGATTAGTGTGGCTTATAAATACTCATCTAAGATGTCTACCTAGGGTTTTAGAATAATATTACGCCATAGTAAGACACAGAAAGTTTGGAGACGGCAGGGAAGGAAAACTGAGAATTAACAAAGGATTCGCCGGAAAATATAAACGAACGTCGGTGTAAGACAAGTTCTATCCTTACTCTCTCTCTTAGGCTTCGTATTCTTTACATTCTTAAACAGTTTTAGGATTAATGGAATCAATTAAAAACATTCTCTGTTCGTGCTTAAACTGAAACTTGTCATATGTTTTTATGCTTTGTAAAACTGTTAAAAACATAATGTTTGCTTGCATAAATCCCTTTTTAAAGCTATGTATGTAATGTTAACTGGACTTAAGCATGGATTGGGAGTGTACTGGGATTGGGTTGCAGCCTTTGGAAGTCATAGCGTGAGGTAGCAGAGGCGTAAAATGGAGACAGAAGGCGAAGACGAAGCATAGAGGGGGAGAGCCGGCTCCCTTTGATGGGAGGCGGCTCCCATGGATGTGGGAGCCGGCTCCAAGGGCAAAGAGCCGGTTCCACACTTGTTTGGAGCAGGCTCTTGCTCCAGTGGTCTGCTATTTTGTTTTCCAGTGTGTTTTTCTTCAGAAAGTGAATGGGTTTGATTTTTCTGGGATGTTCAAGGATTGTAAGTGGAGATTTAGATGAGTTCTCTGGTTGTATTAGAACTTCAGAGGATGTAGGAAAGAATATTAAATCACTTAGGATTGCTAGGTTGAACATTAAACAGTTTCTAGCAAGTTATGCAAACTGTGGTGGCTGCAGGTGGTTCAAATTGTTTAGGTTGTTCTGTGAACTATCTGTGAATGGTTATTAAATAATAATCATGGATTTGTGGTATAAACTAACCATGTTAAAAATCTGTACATTTTTCTTATACCTGTTGTGGAGTATTTGCCATTTAAACCTTAGCAAACATTTCATAACTTGTGGGACTGTGTGTTGAAGCTTGATAATTACCTATGATTAGTAAGCTCACTGTGATATTATTTGGTGTGTACACTTACCATGTTCTAGCTCTCATATGGATTCTGGAAATAAAACTGATAATTGCATATACTGATGTATGGTTAATTGCTAGACTGTGGTGGTGTAGTGTAGGTTCAGCATATTAAAAATACACAACTCTAGTATGCTTACTCTGGAACTTGTGACATTTAAAGTTAACATTATACTATCAATGGTGGAGATGTGGATTTAGTTGCTTTTCACTTTAGTTGTTAGTGATAGCAACTGCTGGATGGTTGGATAGTATACACCGGTATGGGACGGTGGTATACTAGGGATAGTTGCTGTTTACTTTAATTGTTGATATTATCAACTGTTGGATGATTGGATAGTATACACCGGTATGGGACGGTGGTATACTGGGGACGATTTGGTTTCAACATACCAAAACCTACCTACTCTGGATAAAGAATTGGATTAACTAAAAGTTAAGTCCTATTGATTGTAGTGTCATGGCAACGACTAGTTGAACGACACTACTAGGATTCAGGATGGATTTTAAATATATTGTTATGGTACCTCGGTATGAGCTTGAGACTCAGGATCAACGGTTAGGGAGCATATATGCATTGGGATGCATAGCTGGATATGATGGTTAGAAGTGTACCCTGTTTAGGTTTAGGTACACATGCCCACTTCGTGTGCATTTTAGCATGTTACCTCTATTCAGGTTGAGACCGGCCTGTAGTCCATTGAGAGTCCTTTAGTATGACTATATATATATTTACGGACTATTAGCTATTGTTGAACTGTTTAGGATGTACATGCGTATCGGGCCTCTGTTTGGGTTGTAGTAGTATAGAACTTGCGGGTGGGTCTGACCCACTTCTATTTTTTCAGGTACACGACAGTTCCAGACTTAGACGTGTTAGTGCTGAATAGAGGTTTCTACTCACTCTACCGACGATGTAGGATTTCTCTCCATAGCTTATCAGGATGTTCTTTCAGTTGTTTTATTTCAGTTTGGGTTTTTATTAGGGGTCCATTAGAGATGGATTCCCGAGTTGTTAAACTTATGGAGTTTGGACTATCGGATTTTAACCATTATATTATTGGGATTTAAGTATTTATTATTAAGGATTATCTTTTAGTTTTCTTTCAACTTAAATTTTA